AAATTATCGAATTTCTATCATTAAATTATAGCGTTCTAATTATCCCACTCCTGCACTCGCACGAAGAGGCTGCGTGGGTTTATGAAGAACCGTACGAGATGCCATCGCAAGTGTCTTGCGGATCAACCCTCTTCTGAATGGCATCTCCATATAAGTTGTAGTACCATTCTTTGTCGACTTCCAACTTTTCAATAAGCGAAGATGCTTCCGCGGCTGCCGTGTCGTACAAATTTGCGGCGTCGAGGAACTTCATGGCGTTGATCTTCTTGTAGCTGCGACCCGTCATCTCCTGGAACTTTCGTACACGGAAGTCGCGGATTATCTTGCCCACCTTAATACCATCCGGAGTATCAACGATGTCGCTGTCAACGACGTTGGCGTCCAGCTCGGGATCCGATGTCATGCTCCGTCGATTCCAGTTGGCTGAACCATCTGATAAATACACATCGTCGACAACTACCAACTTGCTGTGGACGTAGACGTCCAGCTTCGGCTTCATGGAGTAAAACTTGAATTTGTTCGGGAACTTTTCCTTGAGGGCCTGGACGTTCTGATACATGTACTTCTCGTAGCCAGCACTCTTGGTTATCAATTCCGGTGGCTGCGCAACGACAATCAGTCGCTGAAGACTCGGTAATACCTCCATCAGTGCGTCCAGAAGTTCCGGTACGAGAATAAAGTACTGGTCTTCGATGTAGATGAAGTTCTTGGCATTCTTGATGGCCTTGATACGCGCGTGGAAGAGCGAGTTTTCGCCATTCGGAGCGAACTCCCAGTTCTTGTACTTGCAGCTGAACGTTCGCACGATCTGTACATTCTGATTGCCGAGTTTGGACGTCGTATTACTACTAGCGTAGTCGAGTGGTGGCAGGTAGGAATACTGCGGGTTCTCAAAGTCGACGAGGTCATCTCCCAGGCCCTGCGCTGGCAGGTAAGGCGAGTTCCAGCGAGCGAGGAAGTTGTTAGCCACGTCCTTCGCCGCTGGTCCGTGGATACGCATGCTGCTGTCTACCCAGCCATTTTGGCGGAAATGAACCCCGGACTCTTTGCGGATCGCAGTGGCGTTGTGGTAAATGTTGTCCCAGCGATCATTAGAGAGGTCGATGCCGCCCACGTATGCGACTGGGTGGTCGTCTTTTCCTGTGGAGCTTCCGGCAGCGATCACGAGCGCTTTCTGGTGCTGGGAGGACATCCCGTAAGGGAGACGGTCGTCGAAGATGAAGAGAGCGTTACCATCATTGGTGCCAGACTTGGGGAGCTTGTTGATCTTGTTGCGCACTTTAACGTCCTGGAAAAAGAGGAACTTGTTGGCCCAACCCAAAATCTTGACGTCACCTCCACGCTTCACGACGCCACCGAAGACGACATCGAAATTTGACTTGGCGCCAGTCGGATCTACGTCAGGCTTGAACGGGACGAGATCAGTATTCCAGGAAGCGAGCATGACGCGGTCGTTTACTTCGGTCGTCGTAAGGTCATCGAAGACCGAGTCGAAAAACTCCTTGGTCACAGTAAAGGTCTTGACGGCGTTACCTGTGCTGTACGTGGCCATGTCACTGCGAGGCGATCCTCCCCGTGATGCGGTGATCTCCTCCTCAGTGAGAAACCAGTCGGCAGCCTTCAGCAGTGGCTGTTGCATCTCGACATCGGAGCCGTCCGACTTGTCAACGACGGAGTTACCTGAAGCTGAGCTCGAGTCGTCATCGCCTCCGAAAATGGACGAGAACGACCATGCCGTCGATGAAGATGGAGCTAGAGCCAGCATGCATAGCAAAGTGATGGTGAGTCTTGAAAGCACCTTTTGTGTGAAATCCATCTTGTCAAGCAAGCAAGGAGTGCTCCACCCGGCACTAAAATGGTAATGAGAGGCGGAATGTACGCCTCTTGGATAAGCGACTGTGTCGCCAGTGTTGTAGTAGGCATTAGCAGGAAGACATCACTGATGTCTTAGCTGGGAAACAGGATCTGGATGCCAAATTGCTCCAGTTCTGTGACTTTATTCACTGAATGAAGAGAAAAGCAAAGCATTTGTATTATCCTTTTTTCGGGTAGACCCGGTTATGTTCATCACTCACTTGAGTATGATGGCATGGTTTTTCGTCCTCAAGAAATACATGTATAGTTTCGTCCGTAAACAGGCTCCAGCTTGGATTTATGGGACCGACCTTATCATAGCGTTGGGTTGCCTTTACAGTACCATTTCTGGCTCAAATTGAGAATTTTTCAGATTAAAACAAAAACAGCCAGAATCAAAACGAGAAAATACAAGGGAAATGTGAAATGTCCCGTCTATTAATACCGGACCTCACAAAATTGCTGTGGCACAATTCCAAACTGCTGTCGTCTTAACGTTAAAATACCCGAATATTTCGTGAAACTGCAACATGAATTATTGTTTTGTGTTAAGGTTTTGTAGCAAAAAAAAATCGCATTGGTCAAAAATCAATCGGAAAGTCATCTCATACTTTCTCAATATAGTCAATGAACTGATCTATTGATATAGTAAGTTTTTTCTCAGCTTAAATCTTCC